AGAAAGAAAGAAAGAAAGAAAGAAAGAAAGAAAGAAAAAGAAAGAAAGAAAGAAAGAAAGAAAGAAGAGAGAGAGGGAGGGAGGGAGGGAGGAAGGAAGGAAGGAGAGAAAGAGAAAGAAGAAATAAATAAACAGAAAAAGAAAGAAAGAGGGAGGGAGGAATGAAGGAAGGAAGGAAGGAAGGAAGGAAGGAAGGAAGGAAGGAAGGAAGGAAGGAAGGAAGGAAGGAGCAAGCTTAGAATGTGCTTAGATGCCCAGATGAAGTCCACACCAATGCCCTCTGTAGCTTGAACTAAAGACAGCAGCCTAGGAATGACCATATCAGACCCCCACAGGAAGCATTTATAAAAGCAGTGCCTTCAAGAGCTGCCTTAAGTAAGGTTATCCTGAGTCTTGTCCTGTTTCTTCTTGAAAATACATTTCACCTCTCTCATTTTGTCTTTATTCTTTCTCCCCATGCCTACGCTTTTAGAGGAAAAGTCCGGTAAGAAATAAGTCCTTTCCACTTTTGGGGCAAACATTATTTATTCTGCTTATTTTCATTATCTGCATATCTAATGACTGACTGTGTTTAACACCTAAACAAGGTTTTGAACTTTAAAAACAAACCTTTGTGAACCATGACCAGGTCTCATTATGCCACATGGGAAAAAAAGGAAGTTGGTTGCTAAGTGATTTTACAAACCCATTATTAAGGGCCCTGGGGTAATTTTGTAAAGATTCACCTCTGCCTCAATTACAGCCATATGATCAAATATTTTTGGTACTAAGTTTCATTTATTGCAGTTTCCACTGCAATTAGTCAAGCTACATATACATATCATGAGCTAAGCAAATGTTTTTTAAGTTAATTTTTGATTAGTGTACAACATAGTAGCATCTGGAATGCCTATGAAGCTGGCCTAGGAATGGGGAGTTGTAGGGAAACTGGGGGGTTTTATTTTGTTTTTGTTTTAGTAAATCCAAATATTCCCTCCTGGAATTGTCAGAGACTGGAAAAGAGGATCTTTATAAAATGCAAATTACCTCCTGGATGTTAATTTTTAGTAGCAGTGGGTGATTTTTAGTGGCAACGCAAGTCTGATACGATGTACCTACATCGTTTTATTTTAGAGCAACACAAGGAACAGATCTCAAAAAATAAAATGAGTTTGTTCTCTTCTTGGTTGCCTGGTTTGTTGGGAACATGTTCTCAGGATGCTGATGCATCGCTGACAGAGGTGACCTCTCTGCTGGAAAATAGGAAAATATTATGTTCCATGTTCACAGCACCAAGTGGTTGGTTTGTTGTTAACGCACCTAGGTGCGTGGTGCAGTAAGTGCTTTCACCTCTTATCCTTCCCACTGACCAAATCCTGGCAGCCACTCCACCACATACAGGATACTGTGCTTACAGAAAAGCCATAGGATAGGAGGGAGGCGGAACAGAGACACAGGAAGGACAAAAATATGAGACCAAAACATTAAAATGTCTCAAAATATGAGCCCCACTCTTTTGGTTTCCAAAAATAACATAAGGAGCTACAATTATGATTATTACTAAGCTAAATGGCCCGCTTCTGAGTTATTCAAAATTAACTATGCATTGCCTGTTCTGTGGCAGTTCCCAATTTCATTTATTCTTATGGACCCTGAATGTTTTTCTGAATTAAGCAAATTTGACCACTTCAAATATCCACAGGACTGTGTGGCCTGAAGTTTGTCTATGGTGCTTTAAAACTTCTCTCTTTTTCATTAGTTTTTCTCCTGTTGTCCTTCACGGCAATTTTAACTGCAAGAATTTCCCCCTGTCACTCCCTCACCTAATTTTCTTTGGAAATGTCCATCTTGATTCCTCAACCTGGTCATTTTATTGACTAGCAGGTTCTTTATTTCTCTTCCCAAGTGAAATTTTAGAAGATCATCTCAAATATGTCTGACTGAATATAATAGACAGTCGCTGTAATTTAACTTGTAATCTGTAGTCGACCGAAGTTTAAATACAGATAAACACCTACAATAGCGTGGCAAATGGATGCTTGCCAAATAGTTTGTCTTCACCCTAAAGCATTTAAAAACAAGTAGGAATCCTCGTAAGAATCTTAGTAATAAATGTAGTGACCATATATTCTAATTCTTTCCTAGAAAATTCTCTAACATTAATCACTCAATTTGCTAAAATGAGGCTATAGAAAAATCATATTTGTTTAGTGCTTTGTAGTTAATTGCCCATTCTCAACTTTGTTTCCCTATAGCACTAAATTTAGCAAATTAGGATGCCATAAAACTTCAAAACCTGGGGTATTTAATGAATGTGACAAGGGGGATAGATTGTTTGGTTAGTTGGAAATGATAAACATATTAAAACACTTTATTCACATTGACTAAGATGAAGGTATCATAGTTAATTGAATTTAAATTAACTCTGTTACATAAAAGATAATAAAACAGAACTGCCATGTCATATAAGAAGAGTGTGAAGACTGAGGATGTAGGCTGCAGTATTTTCTTTTAGGTAGATATATTCATTTTGAAAATTATATAAATTTTAGAAATATACCGCATTCTAGATTTCCATTCCAGTGACAAAATCATAGATAGCAGTGTTTATCCAGTTTGAAAATAGCCTCAACATATAAAATAAGAGTTATCTCTAAGTTGAATACCAAAATAAAAGTCGAAGGGAAAATAAAATGTTTTCCACATTGGAAGACGAAGAGAAATCTAGGTAATGAACATAGTATTTAATTAGGAATGAAGGAAATTTGTTCAGAAAACAAGCAGACCACTTGCAAAGTCTCTGAGTAATCAGACATAGAAATGAAGCAGTAATAACAGCAGATAGAATTTACTGAGTGCTTATTATGTATGATACAAATGGCTGCAATCAGAGGTGAATTAACCTCCTGCAGATTCTGAACAACTGAATAGGTGTTTTGTTTGGTTGTGCAGTTAAAAACAATTTCAGCCCACATTTCAAAACTAGAACATTTCAAATTTAAAAAAAAAAAATCTGGATGCTCATCATCTCTCTGAAGTCCTGGCAGGACTAAGCCCACATTCTCACGTGGCACACATGGGGTGCACTGAATAGTGGCCAGTTTTCCAGAATCTCATAATGTGTATGTGCCTGACTCCCAGCACCCCCTCCCCATCCCCCACCCACTTTTTACTCCTGCAAGCATTTGGGTTTGCAACTTTGGACGTAGATCTCTCAGCTTATAGAATATATCAAGACCAGATACTAAATTAGTTTTCTTCTGCCTTTGAAGAAAATTCTGTATATTGGTAAACAAAAAAAAGAACACTAAAGGCTTTGACATTCTTGGGAAATGATGGGAGAAAGGGTAAAGCAAAATTTTGAACAGGCAAAGACCCTTCCGTCCTGGCTGATAATAATTTTTCTGTCCTTATCTGGCATAGCCTAAGCCAATTTTTGCTCTTCAGTGGTGATAATTGGCATATATAAAGCCCTCCCATTTGCTTCTGGAATTATTTTCCTTTTGAAGCTTTCAGATAGCTCTTAATTAAAGACCTTGAGGCTTTCTGGGTCTGCACTTTGCACAGCTTCTAGCTCTGTCTTTTGGGTTCTGTTTAATCAGCTTTGTGACTACATGAATTTGAACAGCTATTCCCTGCTGAAAGCATTTTGCAAATGGAGTTTCCAAAATGCTATATTACAAGGTTGTCTTTTACTAGAAAAAAAATTAAACCTTGAACTTGTGATTAAAATATAGGTTTATAACTCATTGGAAATTAAGATATGACTCAATTTGGGTAGATTAATATATTTGAAATTATTTTGAAAAAGTATTCTGTATAACCTTAAATTAAAAGTAATGGCAAAAAACCGCAATTACTCTTGCACCTGCCTTAATAATAAAGTGTCTTGTATGTAAGGTTTTGCCTCTGAATGCTTGCAATCTAGATTCTATTTTGCATATTTCTCACAATTTTATCTTGGGCCACTTTTAGTCCTCTAATTGCTATATTTTAAAAGTGAATTGTTTGTCATGAAATTCCCATACCTCTTTCTACACAAAAGAACTTTTTAATTTGGTCACTAAAGAATAATAAAGTCTAAAGTTTCATTTATAAAAGTGTTTGAATTTTTCTCAAAACACAGTATGGATTAGTCAATAAGATAATTTAAGCCCAGAAACAAGTATTCTTGTGGCCTTTTTTTTTTACAATTTTATTTAAGGTGCATCTAGGCAGGTTTATAAGAAAGGTGGACTCAATAGGTAGCAGTACCTGGAAAATAAGGCAAATAATAAAGTCTGTAATATTACAAGTAAATTGTCTAGAATAATATGTCTAGAATCCTAGCTATTTATAAACTTGTCTGAAAAATAACCACTCCTGGATGTTAATCACAATGACTCGCTGCTTTTGGAGTCATTCAACAATGCTATGCTTGGCATCATAGAAGGAATGAGAAAATGAGAAATAGGGGATCTGAATTCTGTCTGGTTCTACCTGCTTACTAGCTGTGTATCTCAGAGCCTCACCTTCCTCTCTATAGCATGTAGCCAGTTGGACTAGATATCCATGGAGGCCTACCCAGATGTAAAAAGCTACAAGTTTTTGCTTCCTATCTATGTTCTAGAAAGAATATCCTCTACATTTGAACAAACTCCTAACTTTCTTTGTGTTTGTGCTCCTCATTTTGGTTTTGGGAGGTAGCTTCTGGTGACTCCATGCATTAGCCCATATATTGAAAGGGAAACTGACAAACAACAGCTCTTTCCCCACTCACATCCTAGTCACTCGTGTAACATCAGAAAGTTCCTAAAGGGGCAGAGCTATCAGAGATTGTTGGAATAAATTGATAGCAGCCATAATCAAGATTTGAAAAGTGTTTGTTGTTGTTGTTGTTGTTTTTATCATACTTTAAGTTCTAGGGTACATTTGCACAACGTGCAGGTTTGTTACATATGTATACATGGTGCCATGCTGGTTGCTGCACCCATTAACTCGTCATTTACATTAAGTATTTCTCCTAATTCTATCCTTCCCCTCTCCCCCTACCCCACGACAGGCCCTGGTGTGTGATGTTCCCCGCCCTGTGTCCAAGTGTTCTCATTGTTCAATTCCCACCTACGAGTGAGAACATGCAGTGTTTGGTTTTCTGTTCTTGTGATAGTTTGCTCAGAATGATGTTTTCCAGCTTCATCCGTGTCCCTACAAAGGACATGAACTCATCCTTTTTTATGGCTGCATAGTATTCTGTGGTGCATATGTGCCACATTTTCTTCATGCACTCTATCACTGATGGACATTTGGGTTGGTTCCAAGTCTTTGCTATTGTGAATCGTGCCGCAATAAACGTACGTGTGCATGTGTCTTTATAGTAGCATGATTTATAATCCTTTGGGTATATATCCAGTAATGGGATCGCTGGGTCAAATGATATTTCTAGTTCTAGATCCTTGAGGAATTGCCACACTGTCTTCCACAATGGTTGAACTAATTTACACTCCCACCAACAGTGTAAAAGTGTTCATGTTTCTCCACGTCCTCTCCAGCATCTGTTGTTTCCTGACTTTTTAATGATTGCCATTCTAACAGGTGTGAGATGGTATCTCATTGTGGTTTTGATTTGCATTTCTGTGATGACCAGTGATTATGAGGACTTTTTTTCATGTGTCTGTTGGCTGCATAAATGTCTTATTTTGAGAAGTGTCTGTTCATATCCTTTGCCCACTTTTTGATGGGGTTGTTTGATTTTTTCTTGTAAATTTGTTTAAGTGCTTTGTAGATTCTGGATGTTAGCCCTTTGTCAGATGGGTAGATTGCAAAAATTTTCTCCCATTCTGTAGGTTGCTGTTAACTCTGATGGTAGTTTCTTTTCCTGTGCAGAAGCTGTTTAGTTTAATTAGATCCCATTTATCTATTTTGGCTTTTGTTGCTATTGCTTTTGGTGTTTTAGTCATGAAGTCCTTGCCCATGCCTATGTCCTGAATGGTATTGCCTAGGTTTTCTTCTAGGGTTTTTATGGTGTTAGGTCTAACATTTAAGTCTTTAATCCATCTTGAATTAATTTTTGTATAAGGTGTAAGGAAGGGATCCAGTTTCAGCTTTCTACATATGGCTAGCCAGTTTCCCCAGCACCATTTATTAAATAGGGAATCCTTTCCCCATTGCTTGCTTTTGTCAGGTCTGTCAAAGATCAGATGGTTGTAGATGTGTGGTATTATTTCTGAGGACTCTGTTCTGTTCCATTGGTCTATATCTCTGTTTTGGTACCAGTACCATGCTGTTTTGGTTACTGTAGCCTTGTAGTATAGTTTGAAGTCAGGCAGTGTGATGCCTCCAACTTTGTTCTTTTTGCTTATGATTGTCTTGGCAATGAGGGCTCTTTTTTGGTTCCATATGAACTTTAAAGTAGTTTTTTCCAATTTTGTGAAGAAAGTCATTGGTAGCTTGATGGAATGGCATTAAATCTATAAATTACCTTGGGCAGTATGGCCATTTTCACGATATTGATTCTTCCTATTCATGAGCATGAAATGTTCTTCCACTTGTTTGTGTCCTCTTTTATTTCGTTGAACAGTGGTTTGTAGTTCTCCTTGAAGAGGTCCTTCACTTCCCTTGTAAGTTTGATTCCTAGGTATTTTATTCTCTTTGTAGCAATTGTGAATGGGAGTTCACTCATGATTTGTCTCTCTGTTTGTCTGTTATTGGTGTATAGGAATGCTTGTGATTTTTGCACATTGGATTTTGTGTTTTCTAAGGTCGTGTGGTCCACCAGGGTTCTGTTGCTGCTGGACAGTTTTTGTCATTCCCAACTATGTTTGTGAGGGCCTCCTCATCTTTCCCATCACATTCTCATCATTGACATCACATTGGTAGAGGCCGCCCAAATCACTAGGCCAAGAACGTTCAACACAAAAGTATCCTCATAAGCACACCTTCCATAGAACACCAAAGAAAAATTCCAGACAAGGAAAAGTGCTCTCTAAATCCTGCCTCTGGTTTTTTGTAAGCTCTTTTTGTACCCTAACTGCATGAAAAATGCATTATTGTCTATATTTGCTATCATCCTGCTCTGTAGGGAAACAGTTTACTTCTCTATTCTCTAAGTACCCCCTCCTCAAACTTTCTAGAGAAAAACTTCTATGGCAAGACATTAAACATTGTTAGTAAAGTTTTCTTGTATGTTTCTGCCTTGTTCTTATGTACACATAACTAAAACTTACATATCCACGTTATCAAAGCTGTATTGTACAACGGATATCCTCTCTTTAAGGTTCTCCAACGCCTCCTGTGGTTTAAATAAGCCCTAAACACTAGGACTGCCTGTCTTCCTTTGGCCTGATTCTCTGGAGTGTATGTTTGGTTAGCTGCTTATGAAGTTTTCTATTACCCAAGACTTTTGACTGATCCATCATTCTCTGACTAGGTGTCTGTTCTCTCTTCCTTTTTGCTGATCACAGAGGCGCAGCCCGGTAAGAACTCTCAACATTTTTACCTTAAACATGTATAGAGAAAATTGCTGCCAAGGCAAGGTGGCCAGGTTGGTTTCCCATTAAATTTATGATAACCCAGTGTGAGTGAGGCAGATGAAACAGGTTTACTGATTGAAAACCTCTGACCCTCTTAAGTACCAAGGGCATATTTTAGAATTGTCAGAGCACTTTCCCATAACTAACTAAACTAATACATGGGAATCTCAACTCTTAGTACTAAATTTGGAAAATATATGGAATGTGTGTGTGTATGTGTGTATGTGTGTGTGTGTGTACCTAAAAGGCCTAGTTCACCAGAAAGTACCATAGAAGTTGATAGCAAAGAGATAATAAAGAATAATAAAACTATTAAGAATGTAAGGACACCATTTTTAGGCTATCATTGTTTTTAAGCCTGAATTCAAAATATGTTCCTGCAACATAACTTACAATGATCAGAATATGCTGATACATCATTATAATTTCCATCTTGGGAGAGGGAGACACACTTTCAAGTCATTATTCCTAGGCTATCACATAATTCTAAATAAATTTCATCACAGAAGACAAAATTTGGGAGGGTAGATCAATATTAATTTGTATTGTTCAAAATGGAAACTGTCATTTTCCTCAAGTTGAAAAGTATCATGAATTTTTTTTTTTTCTGTGATGGATCTCACTCTGTTCCCCAGGCTGGAGTGCAGTGGTGCGATCTCTGCTCACTGCACCCTCCGCCTCTCGAGTTCAAGCAATTCTCCTGTCTCAGCCTCCCGAGTGGCTGGGATTACAGGCACCCACCACCACACCCAGCTAATTTTTTGTATTTTTAGTAGAGACGGGGTTTCATCATGTTAGCCGGGATGATCTTAATCTACTGACCTCATGATCCACCCGCCTTGACCTCCCAAAGTGCTGGGATTACAGACATGAGCCACCGCGCCCGGCTGAAGAGTGTCATGAATTTAAAGCAACAAAAAGAAGGGTCTTTGTTATGTTTGAAATGATACTCATTTACCTGGTCAGTCCCTTAAAAGAGGAAATGGAACTGAAAACAGCCTCTCTGAAATATCCCTAGGCCTGTGCCAATCCAATTAGTCAATTATTATTTGATGCAAATACCCTGCCCCAGGTGACCAGTTGGTGGTTCTCTGCTAAACTACATAGCTAATGCCATTGAAAGACAGTATCTGCAGAGACCGCTAATCTATGGATGATTCCAACCCAGCTGTTAAGTGACATCACAGATTATGAAAAGAGTGAATTCAGTTATTCAAAGTGAGGAAATTTATTCACGACATACATATAACAACAAACAAGCATTGAAAGGGGGAAAATACAGTCACTTGACAAGGGGAGGTTTTTGAATCCAATGGGCTTTTTTTCCTGAATGTGGTTTGTGTGGTCAACATCACCTCAGTCTTTTTCTAAATATGTCATGCTGCAACATTAAGGTCATCAGAGACCTGTATGCCCATCCAGCAGACAGCAGGACTTTCTTTTCTGTTGCTGCTGACTTGCTGCTGATTTTTCAAACATTTGTTACTTTCTAAATTGATACTAGCTTTGTTCTTCCTAATTTCTAAACAATAGAGTTTTCTTGAATACTTCTGCCATGTCTTGGTTGCACTTAACTTGGGATTGTTCATTCGTGAAGACTATTTAATAAAAATGTTACAGGGGCTTCTTCTTTAGTGCTTTTCAACTGTGAATATCTACTGAATGAATTGACACCCCTGGGAATTGATGACTACAAAAGGAGCTCTGTACCTTTCTTGGTTTCATGGATATTAACATTTGAAGGAGTAGGAGAGAGGGACAAAGAGGTCTTCAATACAGTCTCTGGGACCTCCTGGGTTTTAGGCCTCACAGTACTAGGTGGGCTGTGTTCCCTCTATGCCATTTATTAATCTTGTGATTGAGTGCTTGGAACTAAAGGCCCTCTTTTTTTTCCTTCAGATCTTATTAATGAAATTCTATCTGACAGTTCATAACCCAGAAAAACATCTGTTATCTAATTATTTCTGTTATCTAATCATTTCTGTCTACAGAGCCTTCTTTTCCAAAAGTAAACCTGTATCCAAACTTCCATAATGTCCTCGGCAGATTTACGTGGCCATATTTATTAGAAAGTATTTATAAATAATGTAGTAATTCTCTATATGGCATACTTAGTAGAGAAAAACAGATCACATTATTAGACAAAACAAGCCAGAAAATGTAGTTTGACAGACTGAGAAAGCATCGAATGGATCCTTGTTCAGATTGAAACTGCTCCTTTAGCATAAATGGGTTCAAAATTGGACAGAAAATGCTGATGCAGCCTTAGGAACAAGGGAAAGAAGCTTCTTATAGGTCGATTACAGAGGCGCTAAATCTTGTCCTAAGCTGTTAATGTTATACTTTGAGAGAAGAAAATGTATCCGTAACCACCAAATTGAGCCTTCACTAAAATTAAAAAGAGGAAAAAAATGTGTTTGGTGGCCATCCAACAAATGTGTTCATGGTCTCACCTTTTGGAATGCTTTCTTATATGTACTTCGGCTTTCCCTGTCCTCAACTCTGCCCCTGTCATTCTCCTATGGCAGGCATCCCAAGCCATGCTCTACCCCACGATGCAGCCATCCTCGTGGTCTACTTTTCTGGTGGCATCCATGCTGAGAACTTTTCACAACTTCTGGTTTTTAATCAAAACTTTTTATCTAATCAATCCTTCTACTATCTAAATAAGTTTATGCTAAGGCATTATAAAAACTGGAGATGAGGTGCTCAGATTATTCCTGCCAGGGCTGTTTGTATTCCAATAATATCACGATGTCTTGAACACAAGACATTACTTCCAATTCACGAATCGATGGGCCTAGTGGCCGGCAAGTGAAATAAATTGGGAGGATGAGTGCATAGGGTGGAATTCCCTGACTTTCTGAATAAAACAGTTCATTCAATGGCAGATGGCTCAAGTTTCCCTTACCTTTTACACTTGCCACCTATACCTGTTAAAATCACATTTGTAAACTGATGACTGTTTCCATTAGCAACCTGGGGACCCCACCTGACAAGGAGCATGCACTACTCCTAAATACACTCTGTAATTTTTAAGCATCAAACATATGCTATACTTCGATTTACTTTCTTATCTACTAGAGTTTAAGAGGTTTTTTTTAATGGCCTATTCAATATTTGAATTTAATTTACCAAATCTACCCAGGTAAGGGGTTTTTCTTGTTCAGAAGACTTATGATTTACCCTTCCTTCCTCTCTATAATCTTTGAATGAAATTAAAAAAAACTGATTTCTGTGTGTGTACCTACAATTTCCTACTTAAATGCGGTTCTGAGAAAAATTTCATTTCCCTATCTGCATTTATTTGAGTTCAGTTTAATTGCAATGACAGAAATAATACATATTGTACATAACATATATGTGGTCTTAAACCTTATAGTGTCTATTTCTAATTCTAGGGTGCAATTAAAAGGAACTTATCCAGTAAGTATATCTTAGCTACCAGAAATAGCGTATGATTTAAAAGAAAGAACAGTTCCTTGGATCTTGGAGTATATATGCATATGAATTATGCATTCCTGGGCTTAATTTTTAAGACTTACAAATTTTTTACTTTTACAGCAAAGAATTCTTGTAATGATAGAGGGCCCCTGTGGGTTCTGAGTGATTAATGTTTAAGTTCTGAAAATAAATATGTTTTTGGAAAAGCATTGCTATTTTCTTTCTATATTTGTCAACTCTTGCTGTATTATTTAACTTTAGAAATGAATTTAATCAAGTGTGTATTTGTTGCTGGGGGTGGGAAGAACAGGCGGGCAGAAGGAACTGAAAGTAGAAGCAACTTACCCATTCTTGTGTTATTTGATATGAAAATTTTGGTCAACCAAAGCGATATGATATAGGTTATAATACACATAGGGCACAATTTTCCTCTGCTGCATACAACACATCCTAGGAAATTCTAAATTCATGTGTCATAGTTAAAGATACAACATTTTCTTGGCATTTCAAGAAAAGAACAGGCAGAGAATGCTGGATTCATGTCCTACACATATGGCCTGGCTTAGTATTCTCTTCATTGGAAAGCAGAACCAGTCAAGGCAGCAGACATTCCAAGAATGGTGTGCTCTTTCACTAAGTGCTGCACTATCCAGATCTTCTATTTGATGGCTTGTCACGGAAGTTCCTTAGTTAATGAGGTTTTACAAATGCCAGAGAAAACACCACTACATATGCCTAATATATGGCTGTTGCATTGCCAGGAGAGAAGGTTTGTTTTGCAAAGTTTTCATACTGAGTTGCTTATTGATGGGACTTAAATCTCTAAGTGTTTCCAAATGTAGGTTATAAGACATATCAGGGAATGGTAAAAATATGTCTAAAAAGTTCCTTTGTCCTGTGCATCAGGTGAAGAAGTGGCAAGACCCAGGCGCTCCACACCAACTCCAGAACTTATAAGGTGAGTGTGAAAGACATTTGTTGTGTTTTATGCAAGGCATCATGAACTTTTAACAATTAAGCAAATCTCCTTTGAGCTAAACTCTCAGCTCCCATTAACAAAGGCTCTACCAAAATATGTCAGTCCGTATATCCATATCATGGTCAAATATGTTATTATTTTTGAAAAGTGCAGCCCAAGGGAGACCTTTAGGGAAATATTCTGCACTTATCTGAAGTAACTGTCTATCAGAATGTGCAGGCCCCTTCCTGATGGGACAGCTAAAGTTCTCTCTAAAGAGGTCTTTTGGTGTCTGGAATGCTGATCTTCAATATTATTATATTGCCCTACAAAAAGAAGCATTTTTAGTTGGATACCATCTCATGATGCATTCCACCTGCCACCCACCAAAGGAATCTTCCTATCTGTTTTTAGTTTTTGGCAAAGCATTGTATTTTACAGTGTATTCTGTGGGTTAGGTAAGTATTGTGCAAATGGGCATTGTTTTATAAAAAGACTGCTATTTCTATTTAAAAGCTGAATTATTTTCAATCTTTATCCTCCTCCAATCTCTCCCCTCTCCTCTTCACCCCTTGCCCCTTACCATACCATATAGACCTCATTGGGATCAATGAGGGGAATCAGATTTGGAGAAGAAATGAAGATAATTATGCATCATTTTCTTAATAATCAGTCTGGAGTAATAATTAAGAGAAAGGATGCAAGTTTAACTTATCCTCCTGTTTTCCCCTGATTTCATAATACTTCTCTTTCTGAGATTTACTGTATTGAGGTATTAGGAGGTTACAACTAGTCTATTAGAGGATGAAACTTCTCGGTGGCTTTTTACCTAATATCCCTATGCTTGACTTTCACTAATTATAAACTGCATTAACTACAACACAGAGATGTGGTGAAATCAAATATAAATGGTACTTGAGGTCTTAGAGAAAGGTGCTTTGCAGTAAACTCAGCTCTAGTATTGTCTCTTCTAGGTATAGAGAATCAGGATGCTTTGAAAGAGTTATTCTCCTTCAACTTATTTCTATTGGATGAGCACCTCAGTTCTCCAATGAGAACTAAGGATCTCACCTTCTACGAATTCTTTTGTCCCATAATACATCTGACATCCTTATAAAATACTTTCTAGTCCTAACGGGGCTTGTATACACATGCATGCATGCATGCATGCATGCAGTAGTGCACACACACACTTGTTTTACTGAGAAAAATATTTGAAAGTTTGTATATCTTTTTGAGTATTAATTTTTGAGCCCTTTCTCCGTATTTTGCCTTAATGTGTGTGATTTAGCAAAAAGCCTCCTGATGACACTACGGCCCTTGCTCCTCTCTTTGGCCCACCACTAGAATCAGCTTTTGATGAACAGAAGACAGAAGGTAGGAAAAGAAACTCCATATATTATAGATTTGTTTTTTCTTTTATTGAAGTACAACTTTTCTAGATTAAATGTATGTATTTTGAGGTATATTTTAAATATATTATCTTCATGGGAAAGAAAAGTTTCAACATAGGTGTGCTGTCAAGAACAGAAGTTTAGTTGGCAAATCTGTATTATTTTAGGATTGAAACATTACTAACAAGCTCGTTCTTCAAAAGAAATCAGTAAAAATTACTGCAAATCTACACAAATCCCTGTCACGGAGTAAACACTCTGGGAACCAGACCATCATCATTTGAGGTATCAACAGAATCACAAATGGAGACAGACCTTCATACACCCGTCATTGTCGCTGTCGTTGGGATCTAACCTCCCTGACCACATTTGCTCTTTCCCACCTCATAATGAAGGCTTCAGTTGGATTGCTCACAACAGTCATTGTTTGCTGCCTGAAGACCCAGGAATGACCTTGAATCATTTAGAAACTTAGAAACAAGGCCAGGCGTGGTGGCTCGCTCCTTCAATCCCAACACTTTGGGATGCTGAGATAGGATTGTTTGAGCCCAGGAGTTCGAGACCAGCCTGGACAACATATGGAGACCCCATCTCTACAAAAAAAAATTGTTAATTAGCTGGGCATGGTGGTGTATGCCTGTAGGCCCAGTTTCTCGGGAGGCTGAGGTGGGTGGTTCACTTAAGCCCAGGAAGTCAAGGCTGCAGGGAGCTGTGATCACACCATTGCACTCCAGCCTGAGCAGCAGAGCAAGACCCTACCTCAAAAAAAATAAAAAAATAAAAATAAAACGCTACTGAAGGAATATCTTTATTTTTGCCATTATTTTTGAGTTTACCTAGTAAATATTTATTCCTAGAGTTAAAGATTTAACTTTTTTAAATTAACCATGTTTTTGGATGGCTGTAAATACTGTGTACTTTACTGATATAAAATCAACTCTCTATAAAATGCATCTTATCTATTCCCAAAATGTGTTTACGTCTAATGCATGTATCTCCAGTAGCTATGTTTGGTAATATAGAACGTTTTTATAAAAATTATTTGACTTAGGGGCACCATGGTAAATGTGTAATAACATATTATCTTTCTAGGACCTATTGGTGAAGGTCTTAAGTGTTAAAGATGGCAAGAATTAGAAGCATAATGGGTAGAATAAGCTACATTAACAAAGACACCTCAAGTACAATAAATTAAACAAGATGGAATCTTATTACTCTTTCATATTAACAGTCTAGAAGTAAACAATATAGGACTGGTAAAGTAGCTCTGCTGTCTTTAAAATGCTACTTTTATCTCTGGCTCCAAGGTGGCTGCTGTAGCTCTCCTCCTCTCCCATTCAGAAGAGAGGAAGTGGGGTGAGGACCACTGGAACTCACTGCTAACTATTCTAAGAGCAAAACTAGAAGAGACACAGGTCACTTCCTGCCAAACCCCACTGGAGAGAATTGGGTGCCATGTAGCCAGCTGAAATTCTGTTACTATAGAAGAACTGGAGAATGAATTCTGGGAGACAGCCATCAGTCAGCCACACCTGAATATTTTCAATGATTTTGTTAGGAAAATGTACAAAGAACATTTCTAAATACTCCTTTAGTGATATAAATGCCCATAACTTAGAATCCCTATGTAAAAGTGGCCTTGCAGTGAGGCTATCAGTTTCCTTATTAACTCATCTGCTATCAGTCTCACTTTTAATGATATATTGTATGGTTACTGGAGAGGGGATTTGATTGGTTGCACCTAAATCTGCCCGTTTAAGGAATCCCATAACTATATGGAAACTTTATATAAAGAATAGAAATCATTCTTTAAAAATCAAAGCTGTGCTCCACATTGAATTCATGAAGAAAATGCTGCTTCATATCTTTGGAGAATGTTTGCGTTCATGTTAAACAGAGCGAAGACCACCTCTAAGGCCTGTGGTGGAGAGGAGATACCTACCTAGACCTGTCTGTGATTGTGGCCTCAATTGTTCCAATTGTTCTTTAGATGATTTCAGCCCCTGAACTTCTGTAAAGTTCCTGCCTTTGCACCAGTCACACTAGCTTTTTCAATACCCACACTTCCCTTTCGTATCTACTCATTCTTCATTAGATCGATTCATCTTTTTCTTTCTGTTTTCCTTTTTTTTTTTTTTTTTGACAGGATCTCACTGTCACCCAGGCTGGAATACAGTGGCAAGTTCTTAGCTCAATGCAGCCTCGACCTCCCACAGCGATCCTCCTGCCTCAGCCCCCCGAGTAGCTGGGATCACAGGCACATGCCACCGCACCTGACTAATTTTTGTACTTTTTGTAAAGACTGGGTCTCACCATGTTGCCCAGCTGGTCTCGAACTCCTGGACTCAAGTAACCCTCCCACCTCAGCCTCCCAAAGTGCTGGGATTACAGCTGTGAGCCACCGTGCCTGGCCTAGAAAGATTTTTCTATCACTAGTTGAAATGGTCTGGGGAAAAAAATATGTATTTTAGAGTTAGGTCTGCTGCATCAGATCTTAGCTCTTCTGTTTTTACCATGGACACTTCATTAAACCACTCCAATCATTAGTTTCCTCTCCCATAAGTGGTACTGGTCTCAACCACATGGTGGTGGTGTGAGTATTCGAATAGATAGTAATAGCTACTGGCCTTGTGATACGTGTTTTATATACATTTTATATATACTATGTTAATATATCTTTCTTTCATCTGTTAATTCTCTTCATAACTCCCTAAGGTTGCTTTTATTATCTCCACTTTACACTAAAGGAAGGCAGCGCAGAGAGGTTAAGCAACTTGCCAAGGTCCTACAGTCAGTGCAGAGGATAGATTCAAACCGCATCCAACTGACTTCTCATCCTGTGCTAGACGACATAATGAATGACAGGAGTACTTGCATAGTCCCTGCCACAGGATAGGGGCTGAGAAGCACTAACTATTTGCATTGTCATAGCTATTTTTAAAAATCAGAACAGAAAGCAGAAAGAAAGAGAAGAAATGTTAAATTAAGTGTCCTTAGGCCCAAAACCTAATTGCCCTATGTTAAATGTCTAAGCACTCATTTTTCTGGTTCTTTTAACATATTCACCAAGCGTTTTTAATTTCTTTTTATGATGCTGTAAAAGGTTTATGTAAAAACCCTGTAGAACCCTTCAAGGATAGGAACCACTGCATAGAATGCAGGCATTTCGGTTTTGAAGCATATTCATAGGAGGCTTTAAATAAACAAACTTACAACAAAACAAGTGTTCATGGGGTTAATGTCTGGATTTTCAAATGGGTACCTGAAACAGAGCCAGTACATGTACTGATACTCAGAATGTCCTTAAGTGACCACCCAGGAAGAAAATGCAGATTCTGCTCTGAAAGTTTTTATGTAGCTATATGCACACACACAGATACTCCTCCCACCCACACTCTCACCACACTCCTATTTCTATTCTCTGCTTGAAAAGAATAAGGAGCAGCACATTCCTAAATTAATGTTTTAGTACTGAGACAAGAGGAAAATAATTTTGTAAAGCTCGAATTGAAATTGAAATTTTAAGTTCTAAAGTATGGGGATTTTTTTTAATTCTCCCTGGGAAATCTTCTTTTTTGTTTCCAGTTCTTTTAGACCAGCCTGAGATATGGGGTTCAGGCCAACCAATTAATCCCAGCATGGAGTCGCCAAAGTTAACAAGGCCTTTTCCCACTGGAAGTAAGTTACGTGTTTGCTCTGTCTGGAAAAATAAGTGACTCATTTTACTGTCTGTCTGCATAGTGAAATATGCATAGGCAACTCTTAGAAAGTCTACGTAAGCAACGTTAGAACTGAATAATATTAAGAAGAGATGTTATTCTAACAGACTTTCAAGTTAAAGAACTCAGGGCAGCTTATGAAGACAGGAAGAAAATAATACAATAAAGCAAATTATTAACCTTGAGTCATAGCCTTTTCTGAAATCCCACATGCTTATTCATTCATTTATTCATTGTATATATGTAAGAATAAGAAGCAAGTGAGCTAAAGAAACTACTGCGTTCCGGGCATTAAGCTATCATATAACACAGAGGTGAACAAGTCTGATATGGTCTCTGCTCATCCTATAGAACAACTGAGGCTACACGGGACAGAAAGAACATATTGATAGAAAAGAGTGACAATTGGGGAACAAGAGAACTGAGGCTATATGGTAGACAGAAGCTGAGACAGTAGATCAGAGTAAATGTATGTGAAAGTTGCCATCAGTCTGGCTTCTTCCAGCATGACCCAGGTGGCTGGGAAAGGAGGTCCTGAAGATCTAGATAGCCCTTCACCGGTGGTGGGTTGGGCTATTTGGACTGAATGGATGGTTCATCAGGCAAAGTCACCCTTCTTACAGATTTATTGAATTCCCTTTTCAGTATACTGCCTCTGAAGCATGCCGCCTGTGGAAGGCACTCTTTGGAGAACTGGATTTCAAAAAGATGCATTTTGGGAGGAGGGAGATGCAGAGGGTATTTTTGCTCCTTTGGGCTCACATACAGACCAACTAATACTTTTTCCAGTTCAGTATCTCCAGAGCTTGCACCTTGGTGCCTAAACGTGATCCTGAGAATTAACCGAGGGGATTCATAATCAAAGGCCGAGAGGTTGTTTGTTGGAAATATTATTGCTATAAAGCCATGTGATCTAGCCTTTCCAAAGATGTTTCTCTCATTAAACAGGATAGGAAAAACATCATTATCAACAATTTTTTAAAAACTTCTGAACTTTGAAAAATATATTTTTAAAATATTTGAACCACAGTGGCATGATTTTGAATGCTTTTCCCTGCAAAACAAAACCAGTGAAAAAGCTGTAACTTCTTTGAAAAGCTTTCTTTACAGACCTGAGCTATACAAGTGATCCCTAGAAAACCCTTTCCTAAATGCCAAGAAAGTAAGTGAATTGTTTATGGGGATGATGTATTGGTTTTAACTATTGGTATTTCAGAGTTGTGAGTCTTAAGTGCTGTGGTTGCACTTAGCACCATGCAGACTGTTGTTTAATTGATGTGCATTGTATCATTCTGCTCATTTTGTAGTTGCAGCATATGTTTTCTATTTTAGCTTAGTAGGTTTTTATAGTATTTTATTTGTTTTTACGGTATTTTGTTGATTATGACCTTGATTTTTGGCAGAGATCCTTAATCAGGAGCAGAGCCCCTGATTGACTGTTAACTTCTGTGGGAAAATATGATCCACTAGAGGTGTAGTTTTCAGAAACTCATAACTAAGATTAAGCACCACATATTCCTAGGCTTTAGGATGAGAGTTGTTAGTCATACTTATTGTGTGGAAGAACAGGATGCTACCTAAAAATAATAAATAAAGTACGCGAAGGGGAGGAGGAGGGAGGAATGACATGAAAAGCTTCTTCCTAATTTAGTCAAGTGGAAGGCACCAGCAAGCACTCCCCAGCCATGTGCCCACCTGCCTCCCTCTGCGTTTAGGTTATGAGAGAGTGGACGGCATTCAGATTCACAGCTAAACTTTGGGATGGCCTATTGAATTAGTGTGAACTCTTTGAATCTACCAAATAGGGCTGGTGACAAGAAAACATACACTGGAAGAAAGAGGAAGAAGAAATGAACCCATTGAAACAGTAATTTCAAACTTTGCATAGAAAGTTGACAAGTCCAACTCAGAAGGGTGAATCTCTTCGTAGGGACCATGATACTTGTTTTGGCTGTAATTTTTGTCAAAGGAATCTGTTCATTCTTCCTTGACCCAAGGAGTTAGTTTGCTTCTAACTTTAAAAAATGTACTAAAATTTAAGAAATATAATTTTAAGAAATCTTTCCCAACTCAATCCGGACACCAAGATCCTGACTGGATTAAAAACCCCTCACAGGAGCCCCCACCCAACCTGTTATTTCCATTATCAAACCCTCAACTGTAACTGTCAGCTAATATGAGTTCATTCAGTCAGTCATAAATCCCTTGAGGCCAGAGGCTATTTTTATTCAACCCTATGACCCTAGTTCCTAGTACAGGAGGTAGGACATAGTTGTCGCTTGAGGTTTGTGTGTTGAATCATATTTAAATGAATAAAATGGTGATATTATTATTATTGTCCAACATTCTTTTGACATTCTCTTGTTCTCATAAAATGGAAGAATCTGAATGGGTTCTGCTTCAGTTCTTTGGCTTCGAACTTTAAACAAATAGACCATTGATTGCTATTCCATTTCCAATAGCAGGAATATAACTGAAAGCCCAAATCCTGCTTATTTAAAGTGTGTTGTATAGCTTAGGAAGAACATGACCAATGATACTTGATTTCTCATCTCTTTGCAGCACCTCCACCACTGCCTCCAAAAAATGTACCAGCTACCCCACCCCGAACAGGATCCCCTTTAACAATTGGACCAGGTACGCTTTTGTTTTTTCAGTTCTGGGATGACGTGTCAAACAGAGCAGTGGCCCTGGATGAACATGCCCTTGATGTGTTGAAAACTGTAGGCTACACAAAAACATTACAATGTTGACATTTAGTTTTGCTTCTATTAGAATTTCTTATGCAGACTTATTTTAAAGCACCACTTCCAGGTTTCACACAAAAAAAATAGTAATAATTTCTCAATTAATTTTTCCTTGGTATAATTTTGTTGAATGAGGGCCATTTTGTAAAATGAAAGAAAAAAAAACTCAATATGGAAAGTCATTGTTTAATTAACCCCTCACTTCATTGGATCTCATTTTAATGATTTACAAATTCATAATCTCAAAGCACAATTGGTATTTTTTCAAGACAGTTTTGCTAAGACTGAAACTATCTAGTCTATGAAGACATAAAATGGTTCCTAGGGTGTGCAGTATACTGGTGGTGGGGAAATTCTTTTTCCAGTAGTCATTCAAGTATTTATTATCCCATGGCAAAGAGATATGTGAAGACTATGAAATACGGCAAGGAATTGCTACATGCCTGTAGACAGATAATGCTTAAGGCATATCTTTACCATCTATTAAAATCAATACTATGTATTCATACAACTTATAGTCTGCCAAGTCTTACTAGACTAGCAAGTCAAAAGTAGTAATGGCTGTTTTATGTGCCTGGGCCCTTAGAATGTGGTTCTTTATCACCTTCGGAATTCTATTGCAGCTTCATCTTTTGCTATTTATGCAGCCTGGTGAGTTTGATAGCTGCAGAGTAGGGCATTCATCAACAAAAGCAAAAGCAAGATGTAGTCATTTATGAAATTTATATTGACTCAAACCCAATAGAGAGTCATCCAGAGCTTCGTAAGTAAAGATGTTTGCAGGTTTAAGACATTTTGGCCCCTTGTATTTCCACAAATTGTGTTAGATATAAATATACCTACTAGCACAAGATTATAAATATTGTGGACCATGCAAAATGCTTCCCCATTTATCTACAGCTTGGAACCTTGAAAGTTAATTCCTTTCAAACTAGAAATACAGAAATACTAAGATGGCTCATATAGTCCAAAAGTTATATAAAGGTAAAGTGACTTCTGATCATGCCTTCCAGTTGTTTAGGTAACAATTTGTAATGTGAATAATCTCAGTTTTTTAAAAGTGCAGTTCTTCATACAGAGCTGTAGAAGACCGTTTTTAATTTTTTCTCTTATTATTGCTATGAATGAGAAGGAATAGCTTATGCTAATATTTTAGCAAAACAGAGACTTTTCGGTATCATGACATCCTATAGATAAATATCACAGTTATGCCTATGATGTTGACAGGTTAGACTTAATGAGAAAATAAATTACTTAAAATTTTTTAAATTATTTTCTTCCCTATTAAGCAGGTATATATGTGACAGTTGTAATAAGTAGCAAATGCCTCCTCAATAATCTATGTGTGTATTGTGTGTGGGGTGTGTATATCTGTGTTTGTAAGTATCTTTGTGGTGATATCTTCTTAATCTTTGCACTGTGTTTCTGGTGTTTTTTAAGGTTGAGGATATACAGCTAAATATGATGTGATCACTTTTTTAAATTAACAAATATTATAATCAGTTTCACCAAAGTCTTGATTTAATATACGAGAGTAGACAATCTTAATAAAATATGAGGCCAGCTTTCACTTCTCAATTCTTTTTATGTTGTGTGATGTGTATTTTAGTAGGTCAGATTTTCAGAAGGGACCTTGCTTTTGGAATTTGCAGTCCCAGAGCGTGTACTTCTCTGTGAATCTGACACTGCCTTCTCAAATTGATCATACTTTGTGCACCTGTGAGGAGCCTTTGAGAGCAGTATCATGCACGGCATTTTACATGATGGTCAAAGTAGCTGGCTTGTGCTCAGCTTGCGAAAAAGAGTAAATAATAGCATAAAAATATGATGCTCACTTTATGGAGAGGGGATCTTTCCCCTCACCTTAGGCTCCTAATCCAATAAAGATATTTTTACATCATGAAGTACGCCCACTGAGGCACCTCACACAGCAATGTATTTTCCAGTCTTTGACTCCCTCCCTCACTCCCTACACAAATAATAAGTCAATTAAAGTTTAAAATCAACTACTTTAACCACAGGAAATGACCAGTCAGCCACAGAGATCAAAATTGAAAAACTACCATCCATCAATGACTTGGACAGCATTTTTGGGCCAGTATTGTCCCCCAAGTCTGTTGCTGTTAATGCTGAAGAAAAGTGGGTCCATTTTTCTGATACGTCCCCGGAACATGTTACTCCGGAGTTGACTCCAAGGGAAAAAGTGGTGTCCCCACCAGCTACACCAGACAACCCAGCTGACTCCCCAGCTCCAGGCCCTCTCGGCCCCCCAGGTCCCATGGGCCCCCCAGGGCCTCCCGGGCCTCCTCGCAATGTACCATCGCCGCTCAATTTAGAAGAAGTCCAGAAGAAAGTCGCTGAGCAGACCTTCATTAAAGATGATTACTTAGAAACAATCTCATCTCCTAAAGATTTTGGGTTGGGACAAAGAGCAACTCCACCTCCCCCACCACCACCCACCTACAGGACTGTGGTTTCGTCCCCCGGACCTGGCTCGGGCCCTGGTACGGGGACCACCAGTGGTATGTCTTACGCTTGAGTGTGCTTCTTGTGCCGGGGAATGGCCATGGCTGCTGCAGTGTGAGCAACACCCTCCTTCTGCCTGGCAGCTGGCTTCAGAGCTTCAGCCCTCGCTCCTCCGGTCTGGGTGTCCTGTGGCCCTGCAGCATGTCCTAGTCCATCAGATGGTAGATGCTCACAGTCATGGTCCAAGTCTGTGGATGTGTCCTGCCTTGCACTCTCAGCCCTTAGGTGTGCCCTGCCGTCTACCGTGCAGTTAAGAGGTCTTGATTTCTAAAACAAAGCTGTCATGCCATTGTTTGGAATTCAGGAAAGTTCTAGGAAGACAGATTTCACATAGAGTGGGTTTCATGTTAAATGTCTGATTTCCTTGTCGGATGCCCCCACAAGGACACTAGGTTTTGTGGGCCAGTGTGTTGTGTGTGTATGTAGGCAGGAGGAGGCGGGTGGGTTTCTTTTTGTTTTTTTTCCAATTTTTTTCTTTTCTTTTTTGGTTGTGGAAGAACCACGTTAACCCCTCTAATTTCTTTAAAAAGATGTAAGGTTTGAAAAGGAGATTTTAGGAAAAGGCAAAAGGAAAAAAAAGAGAGATACATATATTGCATCTGTAATCTCATCAAGCTGTCACTGAAGACAAACTTGTTCTCTGTTCTCACCAGTTGACACACTCATCAGGCTATGAGGTCAACTCTAAGTGTGGTGACAGGTGATGGACTCTATGCCAATTCTGACATTGAATTTTATTTTTTTTTTCCTTATTTGAAGCTTCATTTTGTGTGTTTTAATTATGGTAACACCTACCATGCATACTAAAGCAATATCAAGATTTTCAAATGCATCTTCCCCCATATCATTTTTTCCACTCTTGCCCAAATTTGTCTGACAACACCCCCCAGTGCTTTCCTTCCTGTGCATGTGGGTTCAGTTTAGGGGCCTTCAGGGGGTGCCATGTATTTGTTTTTCATTTGCTGTGAAAGAGGCAATAAAGTGTAAGGTACTTAAATCTAGTAAGAGAGAAATTCTAATATTCAGTCATCATCACTGCCTCTTTCAATGAGGTCTTGCAGTACTTGCTCTGTGCTTGCAAATTCTTCTGTGCTTAAAGTGACAGTGTCCATGGTGATCAAGAAGAGGGCTAGGAGTTCACCTGTACTGCACACAAAACCAGTGTTTTATATCTTTAGGTGTGTATGCCTCCAGGTCCTCTTCCTCCCAAAAGGAAAACTATTCAAAATCAGCAAGTATTTTTACCATAAGACCTTTGGGAGCCTTTATTTTGCAAACAATAGAAACTACAGTTTCTTGTCCTGGGCACCACACTGTTTGTTTGTTTGTTTCTTTTCTTTTTCTTTTCTTTTTTTTTTTTTTCCCCAGACAAGGTCTTGCTCTGATGCCCAGGCTGGAGTGCAGTGGCACCATCTCAGCTCACTGTAACCTCCGCCTCCTGGGTTCAAGCGATTTTCCTTCCTTAGCCTCCTGCGTAGTTGGGATTATAGGTGCGTGCCACCAGGCCCAGCTACTTTTTTCAGTAGAGACAGGGTTTTCAGTAGAGACAGAGTTTCACCATATTGGCCAGTCTAGTCTTGAACTCCTGGCCTCAAGTGACCCACCTGCCTCAGCCTCCCAAAGTGCTGGGATTATAGGCATGAGCCACCGTGCCCAGCCCTAAATGCTTTTTGGCCCTAAATGCTTTTTGTGCATTATTTCATACAACACCACCGTGTGGTAGACACTGTTATCTTTCTCATTTTACAGATGGGAAAACTGAGGCTCAGAGATGTCAAGTAATTTGCCCAAGTTTACAAGCTGGAGGCAATGAACTGGATTCATACTCAGGTTTCTCTGATCTGGAGCCTATGTTGTTAACCAGTGTGGTCTCCAGGCACTTTTGTAAGGTTTGGTCATAAATATTCCAAACTTATTTGACTACTGACACCCATCTACACTGCACAGTGTCATCAACAAGATCACCTAAAGTCTTCTCTCAAAATGTACTCGTCTGTGCTCCTCTAATTCTAGAGGGTTACAGCATCCATCTCCATCCCTCTATTGTTCTTTTAGGTCTTTGGGGAGATACAAAGCTCCTTATCTATCTGTAAAGATAATAAAGAATGAGTATGTAAATCCTCCAAACCACAAACCCAAAGATGTTAGTTGTCCATTATAAAAGAGGGGTGTGTACTTTTATTTTCTATGCAGCTCTCCTAAGCCAGGCTCTCAGACTCCTGAAAGGACATTTAAAGAATACCCACCTCCCTCCCAGGGTAGGCCACAATGCTCTCCTCAAAGGAAACACCTTTATCAGGAGTAGAGAGGACAGGTGGCTTTGGTAATTCATCTGTGTTTCATCTAACACCTTTCATAAAGCTCTCGAAGATATTTGTTCATTTGAATTTATCACTAATCTAATTAGGAAGAAAGGAACTTTTTGTTTTCTTTCTGGAATTTTTGAGAGTTTTGTTGTGACTTTAATGTTTAGCTTCCATACCCGTATTTGAAATTATTTTAAAATGTCACCAGTAAAGACTTCATCTTAATAATTGAGCTGGAAAAAGCTTGACTTTACTGGTATTAGAAGATTGGATTTCTAAGTAAAAGATTGAACTGGGTTACTGAAGCATGTGAATAAATAAAACTCTGCAGCATGATCTCCTTAATTAAGTCCCAGTTTATTTGCTGCTTAATCTTTTATTGATGGAACATTTACAAGCTGGAAGAAATATAAATTTAAGATTGAAACAGTAGGGTATGGCCTCATGTTTTAAAGATTAGCAATGCTTCTCACTACCTGCTTTTTATAACATCAGGCCTGATGAAACTAACTTTCTTGCACTTCTCGAAGCATATTTAATTGTATACCATTATGCACTCACTTTTAAAATGTTATCTACAGCAAAGTGACTGTCACTGACCAAGTATAGACAGTACTGATAACCTTGTGAATCAGAAGAGGCACCTGCTGTTGAAAGCAGTTGGAAGTTAAGAATTTGCTCCAATAACTTCAATTTCCTTATGGCAAAAGTTATAAATACCTATTTTGGCCAGAACAGCACTTTACTGGAATGCAGACGCTGGTTCTTGGCAAAGGCTATCTCTTCTCCCATGGGGGTTGTGTGCCAGAGGCCGGGGGGAAAAGAGTTTTGTTGGCTTGCACCATGTTTGAGGGCCAGGGAAAGAAAGGAGTAAGTAAAGAAAGAATGTTCAGTGCAACATTTTCCAACTTTGTAAACTAAAGATGTTACATGCAAACACACAAGTCAATAAACAAATTAGTCTGAGCTACCTGGGGTTGAATTAACTGAATATATTTCCTAACTACAAGTCTTTTAGAGCAGCAATGTCCAATACAGTAGTGCCTAGCCACATGGGGTTATTTTAATTATAATTATAGTTGCTTAACATTAATACAAAAAGTTCATTCTTTAGATACAGCAGCCACAATTCAAGTGCTCAGTGGCTATATGTGGCTAGCAACTATCTTATTAGACAGTTCTAGAATATTTTCACCATTGCAGAAAGCTCTATTAGTAATGTTTCAGGGCTTTTAATGTGTTAGTCATCAAAAAGGGAAACATAGCATATAATCATTTACATACATATTTAATGGTTTGTTCAAAGAAATGGTATAATTATGGTGTAAGAAACACAACTTGGGAAAGGTTGTTTAGTTCTTCACATATCTCAAAGTGCATATGTTTTAACTCACTTGATTCTCCCAGCAACAGCACGAACTATTAGCCTCATTTTGTGGATTAGGAAACTGAAGCTCAAAAAGGTAACTTAGCTGTAATCACAAAGCTAGTAAGTAGCAGAGACAGGATACGGCCCCAGATCTGTTGGATTCCACAGACTATGCGTTGACCACGTCTTCCAGCTACTTCCACTGCTCCAGCCCAACACACACATAAAAAAAGAAATGAAAGTGGAAGCGGTAGATACGTGGTCTTTGGGGGTTGCCAAAGAAATTGATTAAACCACCTTGAGAACAACAAATGGATTGAGAGCATGTCAATGGTTGCCAACCTTTTTTAACTCACAAAACTCAGTGTTTTTTGGGGTTTTAAAGTTAAACCTTAAACAGTGGTGCTGTCCAAATCATTTTCCAGCATTGTTCTGGAAATAAACACTTTTTAAGGGGGAAACGAAAATGCAATTGAAAATTGAAGAGTGAGGATAGAGATGTGCAAATGATAGCCATCTACACTAATAAAATGTGAAACAGTTGAGTAATTTCACAAAAGTATGTGAAGCCTTAGTTCAATTGTGAAATACCCCTCAGGCCCTGAATATCCTCTGCTAAGCCTCAGGGTTTGGTCAAGCAGGGTTTTAACTGAAATATCCTTGTCCTTCTAGCTGCAAAACAAATCAATTACTTCAATTCAGTACAGAAAAAAGTGATTTCAGTGGGGCATCCATAAAGGAAAACAATTAACTTTTCAATGAACAACTTTTTTTTAACTTTTTAGTTGTATTTGTATCAAAAAACACAATCTTAATCATCATCATCAGTATCTACTACTTTCTATTTGTGTAGCATTTTATATAGTCAACATTTTCATAAGCATTTTCAATTTTATTTGTTACAAATACCTTGTAAGGTAGGAACAATGTCTCTTAAAACAAGGAAGCTGAGGTTTCAGGCCAGCAGGGCCAGAACTCAAATCATCTGGTTCTTCATCCAGTGTTTTTCAGTATTCCACACTGCCTTGGTGGTGGCTCCTTAGTACTTTCCCAGGCATCACTGAAAGGAGTTGAAAATTTTTTTTGTTCTGGAACACGTAGGAAAAAGATAAAGAGTTGGCTTTTTTATAGAATTATTCAAAAGACTATTTCTTGGAAACAGACCTACAGATAGACATTTTGGGCCTTTCCTATGGCATGGTTTTCACAAAGCTAAATAGAACATCTCCTCCTCCATCACCACCAAAAAAAAAAAAAAGTTCTGAGACTTCACTGTTTAAAGATTTATTGATCTCTATGCTGTTGCTTCTGTCTTCTGAAAATATCCTGGGTGTAAATCTACTAACATAATAATCAAAAGAAAACTTTGTAGTGGGGCCTGTCAAAACATACCTTTTTTTAAAGAGAAGATTAGCCAAAGACTAAAAACATCTATATTGAGAGAGAGATGTGCAAGCCAAGCAAAAATAAGAACAGACTTTATGCAAAATGTGGGACTCTCCACCACAGTCCATCTCAAGCTATAAGAGATTGCATTTAAGGGCGTGAGCTTCGGAGGTACATACACAGTTTTAGCTACATGACCTTAGGCAAGTTACTGAACATCTCTGAGCTTCAGATTCTGCATAGATGCCTAACAATACTTACCTCTAAAGCTTGTCAGGTGAATAAGATAATACGTGTAAAGTGCTTAGCATAGACCCTGGCCCAGTAGAGAAAAAAAGTAAGAATACAGGTGGTAGTGGTAGAGGAAGGTGGAGATAGAGAGGGAGCGGGGGTAATAATTAGTAGGTTTCACACTAATGTGATTACACATAGAATAAACAGCACAGAGAAACACACTCAGGATTTCAGATTATTTAAACAAAAGGCACAAGGTTTAATCCCCCAGGGACTCTCTTAAAACACAGCAGATTTCTGAAATTATAGGTTTTGCTGCTCAACTTCAAAGCTTTTGAGAGTCTGAGAATTTGGAGACTGAGATGCTGATATAAAAACTCTCCAGAGAGCCCAGTTTTGTGGTGTGTTGTTTGGGAGGTGGTAAGGGGGTGGCAGGTATGGGGGATGAAGTGTGGATATTTTCCCAGGGCAGGATTTCTTAGAATTTTCTTGGGATGATTTGAGACCTGTGTTTCTAACGGAAGTGACAAAAACCTCAGGAGCAGTCGGAACTTTTCTGAACAAGAACGGTTTGAACATTGATTTGACTTTTTAAAGGTTTTTAGTAAAGTTTCCCTGTGTCTCTCACACATATGACTGAAGTTAGGCAGATTCCTGAATCCAGAGACCCCACTGGTGTGCTGACTGATGTGCATGCCAGCCTCTGTGTGTCTTCTGTGTTTCATGCGCTTGTCATTGACAGCCAGAAAAGTAAATCCAAGAGGCTCTTTCAAAAATCATCGTGGGCAAACTCTGCATTGACAGATTCCCAAGCAGCCTCCTTCACAAAATAAAATCCTCTAAATTCAGTGCATTTCTGTTATTAAGATTCTAAATACAAAGTATTCATGCAACATCTAATTTATTTTCTTGTATTTTGTCTTTTGCTTACCATCCAGTGTTTGGGTACATTAATAAGGTTGGCGCTCATAGTTTAACTACAGTCAAAAGCATAATTCTCTTAATCACATTTGAAGAAGAAAAACCTAAAGTGGAAAAAATCATTCATCTTCCTTCAAGTTCTAACCCCCATTTTCATCTTGGACATAAACAAATTCTAAATACATGCAAAATGCAAGAGAATTTATTATGTGTTTAGTGTGTATATGATGATAATGAAAGGCACCTACCACGCAGCCGAGAGTCTTAAGACCTTACCTTCTGTCACAGAGCAATAAAAGGATTTACCTTTCACTGGGTGTCACATGACAACAAAAGGCAATGAGCTTCTGCCATCACCCGTAGTGGAACTGAGTAATTTTTTTTCTTTATTAAGAAAAAAAAGAGAAAAAACAAAATGCTACAGTGTTTAGTGTAGTAACTGCCAAGGCAAAAAAAAAAAAAAAAAAGTGTCCGGGACTGGCATTGTACTGTGATAACAGCGCTTTGGCCCCCTGTGTTTCCAGCCATTTTTAATACCAGCTTGTTTTTCAGGTGCATCATCCCCTGCTCGACCAGCCACTCCTTTGGTTCCTTGCAGCAGTACCACTCCACCTCCACCCCCTCCCCGGCCTCCATCCCGGCCAAAGCTACCACCAGGCAAGCCTGGAGTTGGAGATGTGGTATGTTCCCTTCTGCTCTGACTTGCTCAGAAACAGTGAGAATGACAAACAGAAGCTCCAAATGCCTTCAGGTCTAAGCGTTTAGAGAACTTGTACAAACAACCCTGACAGGTGGCATCTGAAAGACAGTCACTGCGGTATGAGTGTACATTTCAACCCTCCTCAAATTTCTGCCATCTTTCAAGCCAAGGTCTAAAATGACAGGCATGGTATGCTTGGGCCCTCATCTCCGCTACAGTGGGTTAGATGCAAATGATGATAGTAACATTCAATAGCACTAAATCCTTTAGAAAGAGAGCTGTTTCACAATATTTGTCTGATATTAGAAAACTCCAAGAGAGGGCAAATCCTGGTTTCTGATCCCACAATGCAGATGACTTATTGATAGTAGGCACACTATGTGAATATACAGTGAAGGGGTGGTGGCTTGGGGAATTTGTTGCAGAAGTTTCTTGCCGTGTGTTTTAAGGCTGAGGAGTGGAAAACATTCTGTGTGAACAATTAAGAGAGACTTGTGGCAGAGGTAGATTTCTTTGGCATTTGCACACAGGAGTCACAAACAAATGATGTCCATAGTATTTGGCTGAGCTAGCACAGTACAGTATTTTTGTATTTTGTTAGCTTTAGATGAGTATGAACTCTCACTCTGTGTTACCTGCTGAGTCCCTGAGGGCATGTGAGTTCGGTGCTGAAACAGACCCACTGACCGTGTCACAGATCCCAGCTTCTCTAAGCTCAGGTTTAGCATATTATGGTTTATCGTTTCTCCAGCTCCATTCCACAAACTCTTGTATAGATATAATTAATTACAGTGTAAAAATGGTGTCGTCTATTCTTTAAAAACCTAAGTTGTCGTATCTGGGGCTGGGAGACATTAACAATATGGAACAAAAATGTTGCAACCTGTGTATCTAACTTTTCATCTCTTTTCTTCTCCTTACAGTCCAGACCTTTTAGCCCTCCCATTCATTCTTCCAGCCCTCCTCCAATAGCACCCTTAGCGCGGGCTGAAAGCACTTCTTCAATATCGTCAACCAATTCCTTGAGCGCAGCCACCACTCCCACAGTTGGTAAAAATTCTCTCCTCTCTTTTAATCCGTTTGTGGTTTTGACTGGCTATTTTTAATTGTCTGAAATCCCCAAGGCCCTGTGTTTCTGGTTGAAATTGTTTTGCTGTGTGTTTTGCTACTATTACCTGACTCTTCTTTTAAAACCACCTTCTCAGCAAAGGAGGCAAAGTGCTTTACCTAAGCAAATAAACAAATACAAGAACATTAATGCCTGTGTTTTGCAGGAATTTTCTTATGCTGTTCCATACAGAGCTATTCAAAAAATAAGGAAGAAATCGCCAAGGAAGGTCTTGTAATTTAGATATTATTTCTTAAATACAAATGTCTCCTTTGAGGGGAAATGTTTGTTTAAATTCCAACCATGTACCACATCAGAAATCACAAAATTTAGAACCTGTATTTTCTTGAAGCTTTCATTTCTTCATCATTTTTGGTTGTCCTTATGTTGACAAATGGTATAAACATCGGCATTGTGAGACCTGAGCAAACTTTTCGACATTTTTTTTTCTAGTGCTTTTCAGTGATGTGTGGTCAATTTTCCCAGAGAAATAAGTCGTTGGTGGCATTCTCAGGAAATGCCTTTATGCCTCTTTCCTTATGCTGTGATGAAAATGAAGAGTTGAGAATGGCTGTTCAGCTGGATGGTTTTCCAAGGTTTCAATGCTTCATTTTGCCTGGAGCATCATTCCCCTTTCCAAAGCTGGTCTCTCTCTTTTTCCACCTCCCAGCAGGAGACAAGGTCCTGTTGCCTCTCTCATTTTTGCATGGTGTCTCCCACCTAGGGCTTTCCCATTCCATTTTTCCCATGGGATTCCCATTCCCCACTGTCTTCCTTTGTTGTCGGAACTCCCCTCCGGCTCTTCCATAGTGTAAACCACTTGGCCCATCCCACACTGCTTGGGAGAATGGTTAACTAAAGCTAAATAAGTTCCTTCTGCTACTCTTGGAAGAGTAGACTGCACAGTTGCCTATGTGAGAAGTAGCTTGATCAAAGTCTGAAGCCCTTCTGGAGAAAGAACTGCCTATTTTCCCAGAGAAGTAAGTTAAGGTGTGCCTCTTAAGTCCCCCAAAGGGAATTTAAACTACATCACATGCTTTATATTTTTAATCAGATCCTCCCAAAAGAACCTTTCAACTTTGGTGAAAATAGAGCCAGCTACCTAGTTTCATGTGAGTTAGCAACAGACAGATATTTAACATTATTTATGTAGCCAAGTTTGTTCCTGTCTGCAACATCAATTGGGGCAATTTAGGGCTTCCTATCTTTCAATGCCTAGTAACTCATTTCCCTCTGTTTTGTTTGTTTGTTTGTTTCTGTAACTTTTTTTAAAATTCTATCTCCTTAATACTTCTTGATTGCTATAAGCCATTCCCCACGCTGTCACTCTTTTTCAAGATGAGTTGTTTCACCTCCTTCATGTGATTTGCCTTGTTGGTCAGAGAGGAAAGTAAGAGTAAACTGTCACTCAGAAACCTGGCCCCAAGTGACCTCAGATAAACCTGTAACATGTTCTTTCAATGCACTGTGATTCATAGAGAAAACAGCACACACAAAGAATTTGAACTGGCCAAGCACAGTGGCTCATGCCGGTAATCCCAACACTTTGGGAGGCCGAGGAAGGCGAATCACGGGGTCAGGAATTCGACCAGCCTGGCCAACATAGTGAAACCCCATCTCTACTAAAAATACAAAAATTAGCCGGGTGTGGTGGCGGGCACCTGTAGTCCCAGACACTCGGGAGGCTGAGGCAGGAGAATCCCTTGAACTCGGGAGGCGGAGGTTGCAGTGAGCCGAGATCGTGCCACTGCATGCTCTAGCCTAGGTAACAGAGCGAGACTCTGTCTCAAAAAAAAAAAAAAGAGAGAATTTGAACTTTGTGCATATTTGTACAATGTGTTTCTATACTCTCTGCCGCAGAAATCTCAAATCCTGGCCAGAAACTTTGATTCTTAACACATCTAGTATGGGTTCTCTCAAGATGAACCAGAGCGGGTTTAAAATATATATATAGCCATGTAAGACAATAGTCACATTGCTTTATTACTAAGGAGCATACTGATTTAATCTGTTTGATTTTGTTGTGTTTAATTGGTGTCCATCTTCCTGCTGAATTCCTCACCCTCCTGCTCTGTCTTTTCACCTGTTGTGGGTCACCTGACAGCCACTTTTCTCTGAAGTAAATATATTGTCAAGACTGACTGTCCCCAGGCTTCCTGTGCACTGCTCTTCCTCTCCGGAGAGGATGCGCTTCGGCTGTTTAACACCAAAGGGCCTAATCACGACTGACTTGGAATGTCAACTTAATGTAGTCAAATGGTGTGAGGGAGGTAGAGAATTTCAGCAGCAAATTCTCTGAGGTTGATAGCTCAACATTTCCCTCCCACCACAATACTTTTTTTTGACATTTCCTATGGTACTTGAGCCAAAATTGGGGCAAATCTAAAGTAATTCAAGAACTAAAGTTTTAAGAGCAAGTCTAAACCTTCTACACAGCAATTCATGTAAGAAAATGCCCCTAAATGACTTTGGATATGAAATGTCTCATGACAGCTGTGATTACACAATAGCAAGTCTGATGCCACAGCTGAAAATAGGACTTTTTGTGTATTGTCACACTCGCATAAGGAAGAGCTCCTATACAACTGCCTTTTACTGAATTGACACCCTCGATTGAAAAATGTACCATTATTTTATATACAACTGAGAAAGGGGAGAAAAACTACTGGTTGAGCTAACATAAAATGCTTTTTTATTACATTAATTATTTCAGACAGGTTAGAATGTGAAAAAGTGCACAGTTTAGAATCAATGAGCCAGGTTTGGTGGTGTGCAGTGGTAATCTGGTGGTAATCCCAACTGAGATGGGAGGATTACTTGACCCCAGGAATTCAGGACAAGCCTGGGCAACACAGCAAGATTCTCATCTCAGTTTTTAAAAATAATAAATAAATAAAAAGAATCAATGAAAAACAGTAAGTTCTTTTGCATTAGTAAAAGCTCACAGGACCTCTACTATATGACTTGGGGGGAAATCCTATTAATATTATGAGGATAGGGAAATTGCTTAAAGTTACTCTAAGAACCAAGCTCCTTGACATTTCAAGATACAGAGATAACAATAGAGATAATGAGGAATATTATCATTAAATTGTAAATATGGAGTCAAGCTAATAGAATATTTTCCAAGGAACATTATTCTTTGTGGAATATTTTTTCTACCCTCATCCATTTCTTTCTCTGCATTTTTCTTTCTTACTGGTCTTTGTACAGATTTTATTCCATTTTCTATTAAAGTTGTAATAGTATGCATAAGACCTGTGGCATTGAGTACTTTTTAAAAATCACATAGAGTCAAAATCCCAATTACTTGCACTTGTTAGTTGCTGAGAAGGGAGACCTTAGAAAGAGCTGAATTGGTTACAGTCCAGAGCACCAATTCATGCATGATGTTGTGACCAATTTACAAAGACATTCAGACACAGCTGGATACCATAGACAAAGATAAAATTATGATAATGCTGTTCAAAATTAACAGTCCATAACTATCAAAGGCAGGTGCAAGGCAAATTGAATTTGGATACTGATGAGGCTGAAATGGGATAGTTCATACAGGGACCTTGGATTTATACTGTTGCTTTTTTATGGCCATGTTAAAAGCATCTACTTTCCCCATGGGAGGAAGGTGCATACTGAGTGATCCTATTGAGCTGTCAGTGCTCTGTCAGGAGATTCTTGTTGATGGACATATGTCTGACCATTTGAGAATTGTGTTGGAGTGAAATACACTTGCATAAGTCAATTTTTAATGACAGTTCCTTTAGCAACTCCCTGAGAAGATGGGGCGTGACTTCTTCCCTGGAGCTGACTTCAGACAAATTCACAGATGCTAAACCCTGGCTTTTTTTTACATTTTAATTTCCTCTCATAGAATCATCACAAAATAAGCAAAACACTTTTTTATATCGTAATCATAATTCCAGTGTTTTCAGTTTTGTTTCCTTTTTCCATTAAAATCATTCCTGTGTTTCAGTCAGTAAAGTGGGCTTCTTGATTTCATTTGGGATTTGTATTTGTGTTTTTCTTTTCCATTCGTTTATGTTTCTTTGGTTCGTAGTGTCAGAAGATGATGTTTTTTATGACAAACTGCCCTCGTTTGAAAGGCGCTGTGAAACGCCTGCAGGTATGGTGCTAGCCAAGTGATCTCTAGAGACCTAGATTCCAAAAATCCAAGTCATTATCCATCTGAATGCTATAAACTTCATGGACATGCCCCTCACCTCATGAGTGTCCAGTGCCTCTCAGATGCACCCTGTATATTTACTGTTCCTCGTGGAACTCATGCCACTGAAATTTTTTAAGTGACTATATTAAAAAACAGCAGGTTGCATGACAGTTTCTCAGTGAAGAGGTTCAAAAAAGGTGAGATGCTATTGCTGTGTGAATTTACAAAGGAAAGAATAATTTAACTGCTCAGAATTACATGTCCGGTCACTGCTTTTTAATTTAAAAATAATAGAGCATCATTAGTAATCTTGTTTTCTCTTTGGTACATAGGTAAAGGGTGTTTTGTGTCTGGATGCCTAAGGTGATTCCAGGGGAGGGGATGGAAGATATGTGACATCTTCCCTGAAATTTATATTGATATGCAATGCTTTGTCATTTAAAACCTAAGCTAATGTTTTCTACAATCCATAACTCTGAGTTTATCTTTTTGGAAACATAGAAGGGGATGGCATTGAAGATGAAATGGATACAGCAATTGCTGGATGACAGTTTGCCCAAATTAGTGCAGTTAAAATATGCTGACGCCCCTGCATGGCCAGGAAGACTTCCGCTCCATGCACACAAGCACCAAGTATCAAGCGACCACCAACACATGCCCATTCCTTTAGGCCTCCATAGCTTTGCTTTTGCTTTCTGTTTCCTGAACTTAAAAAAAAAAAAAAGCGTAGATTGCCAGCCTTTCCTTTTTCCTGCACGCTAATGGCATGTAGTGCCTCCACCCTTCCCTATAGTGAGATTAATGACCTGCTCTGTAACTCACATTGTGTCCTTCTCTCTCCCTCTCCTTAACCCTTCCCATCCCGCTTCAACTCCTGGCCATACAGAGAATGAACAGCCTTCCCTCGTTTGGTTTGACAGAGGAAAGTTTTATTTGACTTTTGAAGGTAAGTAGTGCATAGCATACCAGATTCTAATTTATACTCCTCCTCATCCTTATTTCCTCATTTGCATTTTCAAGTCCCAGTTCTCTTCAAAAGTTCTGGTCTCGCTTTCCATATGAAAATGCTATGGCTACTTAGAAAATATTCAACACTAAAGGAAATACTACATGAATTTGGTTTGTATATGATCTTCAATTTTTTCACATTAAAAAAAGTTCAAGCTAATTTGCAGTTAATATTGGTTATTTAATGAACTAAGGTCAATTGAAAATAAAACAAAACAAAACAAAACACACTTTTTTGGCCAAGGAACTTAACTCTGTCAACCAGGGCTCTTTCCTAACTCTTTTGCAAATGCAGTGCAACAAATATAAGGACATTTTTGGTTGGTATTGGCATTTAACTTGTTTTGGATGATTAATATTTTAGATGCAACATCTATTATTGTAAAATCTAAATATGTAAAAACATTCTTATGACAAGGAATGCTGTATAAGAGATCAGAAAAATTGGGAAAAGAAAAAAAGGAGTATATTAGTAAGTTTGATCTGCATCTCCTGAAATTGCAATTAAGATAACTCCAGTAAAATGGACAACTATTGCTGGACTTGCCATTTTAGAAGATTAAGGAAAATATACATATGTAATGTCAAATATCTAACCTCACTGTTTGATCATTTGTTATATTCTGCATTAAGGATAAGCATTCTTCTGTTTTCTATTTAAGTTCTAAATCATCTTAACAGGCCAGTCATTTGATTAAATGGTCCATTTAAACTAATGGTGGGGGAAGAGGTTAAGTAATTTAATTTAATTTATGGGCCATCTTACACATAAAAATTTATCACATAAAATCCTACTTTCTAGGATTTTAAATAGCTACATTTACCCCAGGATCAAAAGTTGGCCAAAACACATTTCACTCTAGAATTGAATCTAAATATTGAACTTGTTTTTGTGTTTCATGGCAACAAAATAGAATTTTTGTAACTTGAGTGTGTGTTTTAATGCAATTTTAAAAACCAGAATGGCTGATATACATAAATAGTTTGTATAGTTGTGGCTTTTTTCTCTCAACAATGAATTTTGCTTGCAAGATAGTCATAGAGATGGAAGTTCTTAGGTAGAACTTATCCAGAAAAAGCTCGGGTAGTATTAGGGAAGATGGTCTGATTTCAAATTTCGCAGACATCCTGATTTCTTGAACTGGCCTCGGCAGAAGACAGGTGAATAAGCAGTCTTCAGGAGAGGATGTATCTTCTGCACATGAAGTCAAAGCCTTCATTGCCTTGGGCCATTAATTTTGTGATAACCAAGATGCAAAGTCCGCAACTTGTGACCTCCTAAATTTTCTCTTTGAATTAAACGAAATTAATAAGTGCCCGGGTATTTTTTTTTTTTTTTTTTTTTTTTTTTTTTTTAACTAATCGGCATGTTGCCAAAGAAGAAACTCCAGTTGCATAGGTTGGTAATCTTGAGGTAAAGCAATACCTGTATACTTAAAGGCACTTTGGTTCCATCTGGTCACATCAGATGATGTAGTTTACCTTCTTTTAACTAGGAAATTAAGCAAGGCACTTTGCCAACCCTCAAATAATTGTCTGGAGCTCAACAACAACAACAACGACAACTGTCAGAGTTTTTTGTTGTTTGTTTTGGCTAATGTATGTGTCAGCTTATTTGTTTACGCTTTATTGTGGATCTATTTTGAGAGACAGAGAGAGATCCTTTTTGAAGAAACCAATCTAAAGACATTTTTGGTTGTCTGTTTGTTTTAAAAATACATATTATCAATCAAATATAAATATTTAATAAATGTATAGAATAACATATCACATTTTATGAAAATATATTTGTCAGTAGATTTCTGGGTATTTAAACTTGGTAACATTGCCATTTTAATTAGTGAGATCCAAATTCCTTAAGCATCTCAACTTGGGCCAAGAGAAGTCATGCGAGAAGAGTTTTAATAGAAATTAATTGAAATCTCTAGTACTGTATTATCTTAATCTTGGACTTTGTTCAAGTTTAAGTATAAAGGAGGCTACTTGAAAGGATATGTGAATAGCTGTATCAAGAATGTCGGTGTCACTGCTTCTCTCGCTAAAAAATGTTTATGCAGGTAAAAGTATATTCAAATGCACATCGAGGGAAGCCTTAGAAGAAGCTAAAAATGATGCCTTGCTATCTCTGAGCAAAAAAGGCTATATTTTTTACATGGAGATTTGTTTTCATCATGTACAGTCATTAGACTTGGGTATTTTTAGCTAGTAAAACCTAGAAGAATTTTTTTTTAATTTTTCTGCTGTGATGATAAAATGACATAGAAATGGTGACATTTTAATTTACCTTGAAAATAGGGCCCCCGCCTAAATTTTTATACTGCAAAAACATTTTCCTTCAACATGCTTTATTGAATGGGATTTCTAACATTCTTTTAGGGCACTCTGGTTTTACCTGCATTTGTTATTATTAATATTAATTATCATTATCTTCAATTCTTCATTCAGGGAATGTAGAAGAAGAAAGATTCCCACATCAAAATAGTCATCAGTTCCAAATAGCTTTTCAACTATTATTTATTGACTTCTAAATAGTATTTTTATAGTGTTCAAAACCCTATTCTGTCTTATTCATCATTTTATTCTTACAGTGCTTTAGATATCATTATCACTTAGTCAATATTTGAGCTACTGATCAACCAATCAACTAAGTGGCCTGTGACTTTATTTGAGGATAACATGAGGTGCTTCGCACTTCCAAATTTAAGTTAATAATAGAGATAGAAAAGTGTTAGTGGTTCTAATTCACAAGTCCTAGTGCTTTTCTGAATGTTTTACTTTTAGAAACAGCTTCACTGAAATATGAATTTATAATAAGAATTATATTTATTTTAAGTTGGGAAACTCAGTAAAGATTGCAAATGGTGATTTTTTTGTTTTTGTATTTTTTTTTTTTTTTTTTTTTACGGAGTCTCGCTCTGTCACCCAGGCTGGAGTGCAGTGGCGCGATCTCGGCTCACTGCAAGCTCCGCCTCCCAGGTTCAGGCCATTCTCCTGCCTCAGCTTCCCCGGGACTACAGGCGCCCGCCACCACGCCCGGCTAATTTTTTGTATTTTTAGTAGAGACGGGGTTTCACCGTGTTAGCCAGGACTGTCCCGACCTCCTGCCCTCATGATCCAACCGCCTCCTCTTCCCAAAGTACTGGGATTACAGGCGTGAGCCACCGTGCCCACCCCAAATGGTGATGACTTTTTAAATTCATCAAAGACTGTACCCTATTGAAGCTATCAAGTATTCTGAGGTGGGAGGGCAAGATATTTTCATGACAAATATTAAATAGAAGATAGGACTGCTAGATATTTGAACAATTCCCTAGAGTGTTTGAACATCTAGATGTTTCCAGAAATGTGCTGCACTTTTCCTTGGTTAGCTTTTTAAACTACAAAATCATCTCATATGTGGTGATAAAAAACAAACAAACAAAAAGTCTGCTGCCTTAAGTTCTTAAGTGGCCTCGTGTGGGAATATCAGCTCTATCGTCTGCTCATGTAGCCTCTTACATCTCACACACTCTCATCTCCAGACTGCCCTGTGCTGCTGTTTACTGGTCTTTTCCCCATCATTCCCACCAGGAACATCACATGTCTAGCAGTATCCTTCTCTACATTTCAGTCTCTCAGATGAACTTGTCCACCTGTTTCCTGACAAAATCCTGACTCTTAGGAGCCATCACTTCCGTAGAACTCTCCATGGAGACCTCTCTTCAGTCTTCGGTGGATTGTTCATCATTGGACTAGCAGGCAGAGTTTGGATTATCTTAGCTCCCTATTGCTACTTCCAAAGCCTTCCTGATTGTGAGAGCAGCCGTCTGATAATTCTACCCTCTTCCACTCCTTATTGCTGTTAACAGTTGACCGCAGAGCAGTCCTCTGCATTTACGTTAGAGGTGCTGGCAGCTTGCGTGTCATCCTCTGTGCCACCTCACTTCCCAGCATCATCCTGTGACATAGAGTGTATGTGTGTGACCTGTCTCACACGCTGGCTCCAGGGCCTCTTGATTTTTGCTCCAACAAGCTTTCTCTCCACTTTATTCAGTACTCCACACCTCTGGCCACACCCTGGAAATCGTTCCCCTGGCAAGTCTCATTTCAGCTGTTTCATAATTAAGAATTTGTCACCCTTTTGGTACACCAGGGACTTTAGGAAGCAATATTCTTTCATTCAACAAATATTAAGTGACTGCCTGCTGTATACTAGCACTGTCCTGGGCACTCCCCACTTGTGAACAAAACAGAAAAAATCCCTGTCCCCGCAGAGGTTATGTTCTACTGTGGAAAGTTAAAAATAAAAAGATAAATAAGTAAAATATATATAGTATGAATATGATAATGAGTTCTATAGGAAAAATAAAATAGGAAAGGAGAATAGAGCATAGTGAGGGTTGCAGTTTTAAATTGGGGGATTTGAGGTTGAAAAATGAAAAATAAAATAAAAACAATAATGAATATGAGTAGTTAACATCTGAGAATTTACCATGTGTAAAGCAGTCTCCATCTATTATCTTATTTCACCTGCACAACTCACTGATGCAGAAACTGAGATTCAGGTAATGTAAGTAACTTTCACAGGGTCACACAGTCAAAAGAGACAGAGTGGCAGGGTACAGTGGCTCACTCCTGTAATTCTAGCACTTTGGGAGACCGAGGCGAGTGGATCACCTGAGGTCAGGAGTTCAAGACCAGCACAGCCAACATGGTGAAACTCCACCTGTACTAAAAGTACGAAAATTAGCTGGGCATGGTAGCATGTGCCTATAATCCCAGCTACTTGGGAGGCTGAGGCAGGAGAGTTGTTTGAACCCAGGAGGCGGAAGTTGCAGTGAGCCAAGATCATGTCACTGCACTCCAGCCTGGGCAACAGAGTGAAACTCCATCTCAAAAAAAAAAAAAGGAGACTAATGATTCAAACTCTGGCCACCTATCCGGAGGCCACTCTGCTCC